TTTCACTGTCTTGTTCGAACAAACACCAGATATTCTTAGTCTTCGTGCTTTTGGTTGTCTTTGCTATCCATGGCTTCGTCCGTATACATCTAATAAACTTCAGCCACGTTCTATTCCTTGTGTTTTCTTGGGTTATAGTAAGTTACACAAAGGTTATCGTTGTCTTGATCGAAGCACAGGTCGTATTTATGTCAGTCGACATGTACTCTTTGATGAGTCAAATTTTCCTTTTATCACTACTCCTCATCCCTCTACTCCTACTCCTTCCCTTCAGCAATTTTTCGACACATCTCCCATTAATTTACCCAGCCCCTTTTGTCTCACCCTTACCACCCTGGGCCACCATTACTAGGCCCACCACCCACCACCACCACGTCTACATCCATTCACATTACATCGTATAAAATGGTTGATTGCTACGATTGATTCTACTTAGTTCAATGATCCTAGTTGTATATTAGGGTCTGACTTGAGATTTTGACTATTATGCAGGGGTGATGGCAAGAGCTGTGGTGGTGGTAGCGGTGATGTTGTTCTTCCTCCAAGACATGACTCTCTGAGTTTGCCATTGAGCACATCCATTTGCTCTCCTTTCTTCTCTTCGTACCATCCCCTTCGTCTAAACTATGCAAAACCTTGCAATGTCTCTTCTTCTTCTCCAGCCAAAAATTGCAACCCATTGGAGAACCATCATGGTGATTCCAATCATTTGCCTAGTTTCGTGTCATTGAGGCCCTTCCAATGTTCAGACGAGAAGCAAAGTTTGAGGTTCCTAATGGGGTTCTCGAACAACAGCAACATTGACTACTACCATCCATTCTCACCCAACACAACCCTAGTCTCAGAAGGAACGTGGAATGCCAAGAACAACAGGTTGTGCATTGTGGCTTGCAGAATCCGGGATGCCACCAACGTGTCGTTTACTACTTCGAAGATCGAGGATTGTTCGATCAGAATGAGCTTGAGTTTTCCTGCGACTTGGTCAATGGGTAACACTAGCACCATGGTTGGTGAGATCTGGAGTAGCTTGGATGCAGGGGACTCTGGCTACTTCCATCCAATTTTGGTGAAGGATCGTGGGTACAAACAAAGAGGGCTTCCAGGGTTGAAGTATGAATACACTATAGTTGAGAAAGCGAATGCTTCTTGTTCAAAGGTTAGCAAGATCAATGGTGGCAAAATCAAGCAGTTTCCAAATGGTGGATCTGACGAAATGAGGTTTGATATGTCTTTCAAGGACTCTGTTGGGAGGATGAAAGGTGGATGGGGGAGAGCTGAGCCGATCTTTGTTGGCGATCAAGTCCCTCATTGGAATCTAGGTGGTGGGGTGACCATCATGGGCTCGGATAACGATCGAGTTCCTGCAAAATTCAGGCCGCCTAGCAAACCAGTGAACATTAGTTATAGCATTGGTTACACGCCATTCAATCTCAATGCTACTTCAAGTGAGAATGGGTTTTGGGTTTCAGCTGAAGGAGTTTATGAAGCTGAAACAGGACACCTTTGTATGGTTGGCTGCAAGTTTGCCTCCTCATCTACGTCAAGATACAATATGGCTGAAGAATTGGACGAAGATTCCAAGGATTGCGAGGTTTTGATCATGGTTGATTTCCCCTCGATGGATTCGAACGAGAACATTCAAGGAAGGATCGAAAGCACGAGGGAGAAAGCAAACGATCCTCTGTACTTTGAGCCTTTGGTTTTCGTTGCATCTTCCTTCTACGGTCAACGGGCGAGGGAGTCCGTGTGGAGGATGGATTTGGAGGTCACAATGGCTCTAATCTCCAATACTCTATTATGTGTCTTCGTGTGTTACCAAATCTTTCATGTCAGGAGGAACCCTGATGTGTTCCCTTTCCTCTCCTTCCTCATGCTCACGGTGCTCGCCTTGGGGCACCTGATCCCTCTAGTGCTCAACTTCGACGAGTTGTTCTTGAGAAAGCAAGAACGACGTGGACGGTTTTATTATTGGAGGAGCACAGGGAAATTGGAAGCCGATGAGGTGATCTTGAGGGTTGTCACCATGATAGTACTCATCTTGCATCTCAGGCTCCTGCAACTTACTTGGCTTGCAAGGCAAGCCAACAAAGACAAGAAGGCCTCAATCAGGCCGGCCGAAACAAAGGCACTCCTTATCACTTTACCATTATATTTTGCTGGAGCTCTCATCGCTCTAGGCATCAACTGGAAGCACTACGAATTCGGGGCAAATAGCCAAAGTAGTCATCGTGTGATGCATCGATCTCTCGGCAACCAACAACAACACTCGATCTTGACGGATCTGAGGTCGTACGCTGGCCTCTTGCTCGACGGCTTCCTTCTTCCTCAGATCCTACTCAACATTTTCCATGGCTCAACCCCTCAAACCCCGGTCCTTTCTCGCCTTTTCTACATGGGGACCACGCTCGCCCGACTGGTGCCACATGGGTACGACCTCTTCCGGGCTCAAAACTTCGCGGAGTACTTCGATTGGTCATACATCTATGCCAACCCTGAAGCTGACTACTACTCTACGTGGAGCGATGTGGTCATTCCTCTTGTGTGCTTGATGTTTGCTGTGATCATTTACCTACAGCAGCGATTTGGTGGTCGTTGCTTCCTCCCCAAGAAATTAAGGGTGGTGGAAGGAATGTATCAGAAGGTGGCCGTGACAGATGATGAAGAGCAGTTGGAGGAGAAGTCTCATGTTGTTGGTCACCTTCCATCAGTTTGATACGTATTATTGTGCCTAGTACTAATTAACTCTGCCATTCCCCTGCTTTTTTCATTTCTTTCCAAGTGGAATCATGCTTCTTGATTTTGCTACTTCTGCTCTTTAAATGCATAATGATTGTCTACGAGTTTTTGACGAAATGTTAACTGAATCTGGAAAACGGTTTGAGTTGGATGGGAGATTTGGGATCGATTCGCACTGAACTTAATATAATCAGATTAGGCTTCAAATTCACAAATACTAGGGACTACTGCTTTGCTCCTTACTAGGTCATAAAATACTCGCATATTTTTTTTTTTATTGTTGGCGAGGAGCAACTGAGCAGGAAGAACAGGTGCTCGACCAGCTGGGATCAATTGGGAGGTATTAATGTCAACATTCACGTCTACTAAGGTTCGCTGGAGTCTGCATAAAGTGTAGTCCGATAAGCTTTACTTGTTATTTCTTACGAGTTATGTCCCTCTCGCTTAGTAATGTAAATTTGTTGTATGAATGATTTAGCAAATTGTAACTTATAGGACATAACTGTAAAAGCAACCAAAACATCACAAAAATGTTGTGCGAGAGCTCGATAGTAATTTGCACTCAGATCACCAATGAGACTATGGGTCAAAGGAGAGCAATTTACATACTACGGTAGTAAGAACATGTACGTTATTGAAACTTAGACAACTATTAATTAGAGAATTTACGAATGAAAATGGACATGGAGATGTGATCATGCTTCCGTTTCAGTCCGATAGACAACAATAAATTTACCATGGACTTTCAACTAAGATGAAAATGAGAAGAGATATAGAAAACATGGAAAAAAAAATCGAAGAAAGCATAGGACAAAAACGGAAGACCTTAGCATCTGGGTCAATAGGTTTCGACGCCACTTCCGTAATTTTCGATTGAGAGCGGGAGATTTCACTATTGTCTTCTGTCATAACCAGGAGTGCTCAATTAGTACGATATTGTCCGCTTTGGGCCTAACCCGCACGGTTTTACTCTTGGGTGTCCTCCCCAAAAGGCCTCGTACTAATGAACTTGGTGGACACTTATATACAAGGGTTCCTTCCCTTGTATATCCGATGTGGTAATTGGATTGTCCCATAACAATCCCCCCTTCAAGACAAGGACCACGAATTTCGTGTCCTCACCTCATCGATTATCTTGATCCGCCAGACACCTTGTATCGATGGGCTTCTCAGTACAAGGACTTTACCAGACGCGGAACCCTCTTTGATCCACCAAACATACGTGGATCTCTCCACCAGACAAACGCGGACCTCCATCGATCCGCCAAACCAGATGTAGCCCAAACGTGGATCTCTCGTGGATCCTCCAAACCAGACGCGGATCTCAAATCCCGAGGCCACCAAACGATTGTCCACCGCCCTGGAACCGAACCAGACTCGGATACCACTTGTCACAAATCGGGTTGCTCCATTAGTACGATATTGTCCGCTTTGGGCCAAGCCCGCACGGTTTTACTCTTGGTTGTCCTCCCCAAAAGGCCTCGTACTAATTGGGCTTGGTGGACACTAATATACAAGGGTCCCTTCCCTTGTATTACCGATGTGGTACTTGGATTGTCCCATAGCATCTTCCTATTCGAGCTTGAACGACATGGATGAGTAAGAATGCAAAATTAAATACGAAAGTCGGTCTCGACCGAACGGAAAAAGTCAATTTCAGGACAGGAAAAAAAAATGAAAGCCAATGACAAAGACGAAAGACCCTAGCAAGACCACTTTGGTACTTTTCAATTGAGAGTGAGAGATTTCAAAATTGTCTTCCTATTCGATTTTGAGCGAGAGAGATGAGTAAGGATGAAAAATCAAGTACTAAAGTTGGACTCAAGCGATCAAGAGAGGTGAGTAAGAATGTAAACCAAATATGAAAAAAACAGGTTTTAGTACAACAAACAAAAAAGTATGAAATACATATGGAAAGAGAATGAGTGAAATAAAAGAAAATAAAAAAGAAATTTAGTATGATTCTGGACTGGCCAGCCCACCCCTAACCGCAAGTACACAAGAAGATGGTTAAGTTTCAAGGTCTTTCTTATGCGGCCCCATTATTCTTATGTTGGGTAGTTTGCTCTCAAGGGCAGAGATATGTTGAGGAGTCAACTTCGTGCATCTTCTAATGTCCAACGTCTCTAAAGAAGGGCAATTGACTATGTATATTTGTTCCAAAGACTTCAAGTCAGCAGTTCCTTGGATCTCACGTAACCTAGGCATATCGCGGATATCTAAGTCCTTCAACTTACGTAGCTTCGAGAGTGAAGGAAGTCTCTCTACTGCAGGCAAGTCAAACAATAAAACTCTTTCCAACTCTTCCATGTCGGCGATCCCTTCCAGCCACAATTCCTGCTCCCCCTTCTTCTGCATGCGCACCAAACATTAATGTGCGTGTTAGTATGTGACATTCTGAGTGTGTTTAATGTGAAGAAGTGGGTATATTCTACTTTCTTTGTTACCTGCTCGACATTGTTAATGGCGTCTTCTTCGTCATCCTCATAATGTTTGATCGACACAAGTTCTAGTGTTGTAAGCCTTGAAAACATCGAGAGAAGAGGCATCCGGTTGCCACCTTGTAGTAGTGTTGAGTTACAACTCCATATCTTCAATGTTCGTAAAGAGTGGATGGTCGTCCTACAATGGTTATTGTCGTCGTTGTCGCCATCTCGCAATGCTTCTGCCAGATGAGGGCAACTCTGAATCTCCAATGTCTGTAAATTGTTGAAATGCAATAGGTTCTCAAAGCCGTGGACACAAACCATATTGTATCCATCATTAATATTGAGAGATCGCAATGACTTTAAGCCTTCAAGGCCTCGTATCTCTTGCATTTTGGGACAATACTCGATGGACAACTCTACCAAATTCTCAAGGTTCTCTAGGGTTGGGAGCCACTCCATTTTTGGACAGTGCCGAATGTGGATGCTAGTTAGAGATGATGGAAGGCACACAAGCCACAAAGAAGATTCAGGAATACTTGCGTTTGTTTTCGAGGCAATAACTATTTTTGTTTCCTCGAGCACCAGAGACTTCAATCTGGAAACCTTCCACCATGACTTCTCGGTGGTAGGGATCTCGAGCCCGAAATCACAATTTGTAACCGTTAATTCCTCCAACTCCAGCAATTCCGAGAGATTAAAAACCCGAGATGAAGTGGCTAGCAACTCCAGACTACCTGGAAGCTTCCCTAGTTCCACAACATCTTCCTTAATTTCTTCTTCTTCTTCCTCTTCTTCCTCCTCTGACTCCCAAAGCTTACAACTTGCTCCAATTGTCCGCAAGATCTTAAGAGACGACAATTCCCTGATATCAACAAGCACTTCTTGCAAATTCTTGCACTTGAGGCTGGTGAGATCGAGCTTTTGAAGTCTCTTCATCATCATTCCAATGGTTCCTCCCTTTATAGATTCTAGATTAGCCTCATTCAGATTCAACAATTTAACGTTCCATAGATTGCTGATATCAAGCTTCGGGTATGAATCTGACTCCCACATCACGCAACCAGAAAGGTTCAGGATCTCTAGACTGCCTGTTCGTGGAAACTTTGGGAGTGTGCTTATGGAATAACAACCAGACAGGTCCAGAACCTTCAGCTTGTTGGACACCTACAATATGTACCAATTGTCCTTTGTATTATCATAATAAACACACATTCACTTTACTATGATTTTGGCAGAGAAATGTCCAATTCAACTAGTGACTGTAGCTAGGGTAGATTAATGTATGGTAAGTATATATGTTTTCAATGACTTGCATGTAAAAATTCTTGTTTTCACCCCTCAATCCGAGCAAGCAAACGAGTGGACAACATATAATACGATATAGAGATATGTTTGACTGAAAAGGTTGGAATACCCTCCAAGAACAAAAGGATATTTGTAAGCAAACCTTGATTTCACTGAATGCACAATTGAAGTATACCGAGGATCGGAGATCAAGAATCACGAGATTTCTCAAATCACCCTTCAAAATATATTCGTCATAAATAAATTCTGATTTCAGGCGAAGCCATCTTAAATTAGGAAGAAGATTCGTGAAGTCTCCTTTAAAATTCATGTTCTTTGATTGAAAATATCTCAACTCTGATAAATCTGAAAAATGCTCTGGTTCAAAATAGCCCGCCTGCATCTCAGAAAAGTATGCTCTAAGCGCTTTAACTTTCTTTGATCCCTGAGTAAAAATAGATAGATGAATATTCTTGTTAGTTTTAGACCTTGTGTCATGGTTTTTTACCTTGTAATAGCAGCTTGAATTAATACTATCACAAAAGAAAGATGAGTGAAGTGTCTAAGTAGTTGCATAGTATAAGTAAACGGATCTGTAAAACATTAGAAAATACCTTTTTGTCAAGCAACGTATTCAGACCTTCATGCTTCTGCCATACCCTACTTCTCATCCATGGTTCTTCTATATTTTCCTCACGCACGATTTCTCTTCCCATATCTCTTAGTTGATCATGCACTTGAAATTCATTGTCATCCCCCATTTTTATCATAGACCTTTGAATAAGAATATTAATATTACTTGCAGGGTGATATTTGTAGTCATCCCACATGTAAGAAGGAAGTTCTTTTTCCATGCCGATGAAGAAACATACGATATCCAAAAAAATTTGTTTAGCCTCGTACCCCAAAGCGTCATAACTTATCCTTAACCTTAGTACCACCTCTTTCTCGGGCATTTCTCTTAAGTGCGCTAATTTATCCTTCCAAATATATATTTCTTCTCTGAACAAAAGTGAGCCGACAACCTTCAGAGTTAATGGAAGCCCTCCCGTTGTCGATACAATTTCTTTTGATATAACTTTGTACTCTCGTGGAGGAGCATTCTTCTTAAACGCGTGCTTGCAAAAGAGTTGAAGTGACAATTGTGGACTCATTTCTCCAACTCCATACAACTTGCATTTATTTTTGTTCAGAGTACTCAAGACTTTCATGTTTCTCGAAGTGATGATAAATCTACTTCCAGAAGCAAATTTTTTAGGATTTCCAAAAAAATCCTCAAAATTAAATGTCTCATCCACATCATCAAGAATGATTAGAACTTTGAACAGACACACTCTATCTTGTATCAATCTTCTTCCTTCGTTAACATTATCAACAAATCCAACAGAATCTGTTTTCATTATATTAGAAATTAGCTTCTTCTGCAAACTCATGGTTCCATCTTTATGCTTTTGAGTTTCTCTTATATTTTCCAAAAAACTACGTCGATCAAAACGAGTAGATATCTCGCTATAAACAGCTGTTGCAATAGTAGTCTTGCCAATACCACCGAGTCCGTGAATGCCAACCATTGTCACACCTTCAGAATCTAAGCTCAATTTATCTATTACTGCATTTATGTGATAATCAATTCCAACCAACTCACTGGAATCGATAAGATTATCATATTTGCTTAGATGAGACCAAACGATGTCAGAAATTGAATCTGCTATAGCTCCTTGCCTGTAAAATTAAATTTGTTTCTGTGATTGTCCGGATCAAGGAATTAAGCATCACATACGAATGATTGATTTATTTATGAAAGATATTTTTATTATTATCAAATTAGTTTGTGATGTTTACAATGGTTTCACTATGATTTCTTACAAATATGCCTCTACATTACTTTCCTTTTAGCTATTTGAAGTCTCTCTGTAATACTTCATTCAAATCCATTTTTTATAATGAACTTCATTCGAATTTGTTACTAGAAAAGGGTTATATATATGACTTGGTTGTACCCGTGGCAAATTTATGGTACTACATACTGTCGTAAGAAAATGTTAACCAGACCTTCAATTAATCGGATTTTTGGGCATGATATTATACTCTAACTTTTAATGAGTGAACACTAGGTCATAATTGTCTAAATCATGACCCCTAAACCCTCAGATAGTGCAACTAGTATGTTAGATGTATTTAGATAAATTAGAACCGTCGATTATTATTTTCAATTAAATTGAACTTATGTTATATGATTTAGAGAATTAGAATCTAGTTTTAACTCATTAGGATTTATGAAATAGTATCATGCCTCATTTATATACTGTTTGTTACTAAAAATGTTTTTGCCCAAATTTTTTTCCGTTGAATCGGATGCTTTATTCCCAGAAAAAGACCAATACAACGAAGGGGGAGAACTCCCCAGTAAAGCCTCACTACTATCTGCTATATCACCCTACTTACAAGGAAACATTTAAACCAAAGAGAAACCTATAGGTAGTGTACGTAGTTTAGTAAGTGCATCCCTCAATCCTCGATTCCCACAAGCCAAAAAATGCAAGTCATCTCGAAGCTGAAGAGCAACTTGTTCTGGTTGGTTCCTGTCCGCTCCATGGATCACCCTGCACCTCTCCTTCCAAATGAAAGCAACAATCATACACCACATCAAAGCATGCCAGCTGCCTGTGTGTGTATCCCGTAGTAACAGTGCACACAAACTCTGTATCATTTCACCCCAACTCTGATATTGAAGATACCTGAACTGCAGAAAAGCAGTAAGCCTGCGAGTGAAATTGCAACTAAGAAACAAATGATCACGGCTCTCAATTCCATTATCACACAGAGGGCAAGAGGCATTAGAAATTTTCCCCCAATGCAGAAGTTTATCCCTAGTTATAATGGCATTCTTCATTATCAACCAAGCTAGCAGACTATACCTCGGAGGGCAATAAACAGCCCAGACAAGCTTATGCCATGGGACAGTGGCCACCCTTCTTCTAAGTGATTCCCAAACCCTTCGAACCGAATAGATATGCATCTCCTGAGAATCCCAGTAGAGAACAGTCCCTTGCTGAGTTATCCAAGGTAAAATAATGCCTCTAAGCTTCAGCAGCCTTCTCCAAGTCCACGAGCTACTATATTGCACCTTCATACTCCACAAATCTCCCTGTTTACACTTATATTCCATCATCCATGCAACCCATATAGTGCCTGCCTCCATTAGAAATAACCACAGTACTCTGATAGCACAAGCTCGATTCCAAGCCAATAAATCCTTCACTCCTAACCCACCCTCCTTCTTTGGTAAAGCCACTGATTCCCAGGCCACTTTGGCTCGTCCAGTTTCAGTTCCATGCCAAAGAAATTGTGAACAAACCTGCTGGATCCTCTTCAGAACTACTTTTGGGAATACAAATAATTGCATCAAATATTGAATCACCCCCATCAGAACTGAATTCACAAGTTGCAGCCTGCCAGCATAGGTCAATTTTCTAGCCCTCCGGGATTTAACTCGTTTGGTAAGCTTTTCCACCAGTATATCCACCTCCTTTGATGACAACTTACCTGTCATCAATGGAAGACCAAGATACCTGACAGGCAGCAACCCTTCCTTGAAGCCAGATAAGGCCAGGGCATTACCCTTATACTTGACAGATTCACCCCCAAAATAAACTTCACACTTAGCAGGATTACAATTAAGCCCTGACAATCTGTAAAATTGCTGCAGTACCTCTTTCACTTGAAGGATAGCTTGAGATGAACCAGTAGTGAAAACAAGTATGTCATAAGCAAAACACATATGATTCAAGCCAATCCTCTTACATTGGGGATGGTAAGGGATCCTCCCTGCTTGACTAGCTGCTATAAGCATAGAAGAGAGTCCTTCCATGGCTATAGTGAACAAATATGGTGATAGAGGATCACCTTGACGAACCCCCTTCCTAGCCCTAAAGAAACCACAGAGACCCCCATTTATGTTTATACTGTAATGAGCAGTTTGCAGACAGCTTCTTATCCAGGTCATAAATTGAGGTGGAAAACCCATGGCCAACATCATATGAAACAGATAATGCCAACTAACAGAATCAAATGCTTTCATAATGTCAATTTTTATTGCACATCGATGATAATGCAATTCTATTGTAGCCACTAACTAATTCCTGAGCCATCAATATATTATCCATGATGCTCCTACCTTTAACAAAAGCTTACTGATTGGCACTGATGATTAGAGGCATTACCTCACTAATCCTTCGAGCAAGAATTTTAGCTATTATCTTATAAAACAGATTAACACAAGAGATGGGCCTAAAATTCCTTAGGGTGTCAGCATTCTGAACCTTAGGAACTAAGGAAACAGCAGCAGCATTGATTCCACTAGGCATGTTACCTGTTTGAAAGAAGTAAAGAATCCCTCTAGTCACATCCTCACCAATGATTGACCACGCTCTCTTGTAGAAGCCTGCAGAGAAGCCATCTGGGCCTGGAGCCCTCTGTGCATTTAGTCCAAAGACCACCTGTCTCACTTCATCAGCTGTAACTTCTTTAACAAGATTTTCACAATCAGGAGCAGGGATGTGATGCCTAACTAGATGAGCTATCTCCTTCCTACTAGGTTTTATGTCCTGATTTGCTTCCCCCAACAGCCTTTTGTAGAAACAGATTGCCTCTTCAATGATCCGATCAGACTGAAACAACTCCTCCCCAGACTCTGTAACTAGCTTCCTAATAGCCCTCTTAGAATTGTGGATCTTGACTGCCTGGTGGAAGAAATGAGAACTTTGATCACCAACTGAAAGCCAAGAGACTCTAGACTTTTGCCACCCAAAACTCTCATACGCCTTTGTAACATGATCAAAATGATCCTTCGCAAGTGATACTTCTTCAAAATGCTCAGGGGAGGGATCTGAAAAGGACTCATGTAATTGAACCCTTGTCAGTTCAGCTTCAGCCTCTTGTACCTTGTCATGTAAGTTACCATATACAGCTTTATTGAACTTCTTCAGAGCTTGTTTTACCCTAGTCAATTTACCCTGAATAACCTGCAGAGGATTGCCAACTATCTCACTACTCCATGCCTCAGCCACAATGTCCAAGAATTTTGGGTGATCTGCCCAGAACTCAAAGTATCTAAAAGGTTTAGGAAGAGATTTTATTGGAACAGCAGTACAGACTTGTATGGCACAATGATCTGAAAAATGAGCTGGGAAAGCCTCCATAGTGCAATTTGAAAACTGATCAATCCATTCCAAATTCACTAGGCCTCTATCCAGTCTTCTAGCAATAGGCTGATTGGCTTGCCTATTTGTCCATGTGAACTGCGGCCCTGTAGTCTTGTAATCAACCAACTCCATCTCCCCAATCCACTGGTTAAAGTCATGCATACTTTGGCTTGAGGTTCTCTGATTTGAGGTCTCTTGTGGACTCCTCACAGTGCTAAAATCACCCCCAACGATCCAGGGGTGGCCAACAACCTTCAACTGAGATATTTGCTGGTAAGTACCTAACCTCTCTGATTCATCATTAGATGCATAGACTGCTGTAAGGAAGAAACTATCCTTATTTAAATCCTCAACCAGGCAATGTAGAAAGTTTTTCCCTGGTTTAAGAATCTGGACCTTGATAGCAGGGTCCCAGAAAAGCCAAACCCTACCTAACTTCAACTCATGACAATTCAGACATTTCTCCCACCCAACAAAAACCTCCTCTACTACTTTCTCAGCTTTAGCAGCTTGAATTCTAGTTTCTAATACTGCAACCATATCTACCTTATTCCTACGAAGGACTCTTAATAAGTCCCTTTGTTTAGAGGGCTTGTTTAGCCCCCTAACATTCCAGAATAGCACAATCATTTTGAAGTTGGAGGTTTCCCCCCACCCTTCTTCACTTCCTTTTTCGTTTCCTTCTTCTTAGGAGCATCAGGAATACCCCCTTCTTCCTTATCACTAAGCTTCCCCAGCACACTGAAAGTAGAGTTTGAGATATGTATACCTTTTGAACCCCCCTGGGAAACCCACACTCGAGGTTTAGCACCATTGACCACTTGCTGGAATTCATCTTCTGATGGGAGCTTTGGCGAGGCCGAAGTGGCCACCTCTTGAAACGACTTCTCAAGATTTTGAATCAGACCCCCACTCACCACCATAGGACTGGTAAATATGGCTGTCAGTTGTGGATCATCCTCATAAACCACCACCTCCTTACCCTTCCCACTAACTGTTGGTTCCTCTATTACTACATCCTGAATCTTCTCCCCACTTCCACTCCCTTGACCCATACTAATAGCACCCACTTCCTCTGACTGCTTCACTGGCTCTGACTTTGCTACCCACTTCTTACCATGATGCTCAGAACATGGACCAGAGATCCCAAACAGATGACAAACCTGGCAAATCGGAGGCAAGTTACAATATGTGACCCCAATTCTGATGGATGAATCATCATTAGGCCACAAAAGGATGTGGTCAGGGCATTCACTATCCACTGTGAGCTCCACCAGTACCTTCGCAAAACCATGCCTATCACCCATCCGAGTAGTGTGATCCATACCCAACGGAACCCCAATCCAACTGGCAATTCTACTTAATCCCTGGAAGTCATTGTACTCCAATGGCACATTAGCTAAATTTACCCAGATCGGCAGAGCCTTCCTACCCAACTCCTCGACACTGATACCTGGCACCCAAGGACGAAGATATATGAGGTTGTTGAACCAAAACCAGGGCCCATTCTCCAATATCCA